TTTGATACTTTTACTTCAAACATTTCTTGTTTACCTCCCATACTTCTTGGGTCAAGGAATGACACATCTAGAGTCATATCTGTAGGCCTCTCTTCTAATACACACCAGAAAATAAAAGTCACTCAATAAATATTTGTTGAACTCAACTGACCTGAATAATGTTATATTTCAGGCAAAAAGCCTGGATATGTAGATCAGATACAGACTCTGGCCATAATTACAGAGAAGAGCAAATTCCAGAGCCACAAGCTTACCTTGTTCCATAAATCCTTTGGCTCACAATGGAAGGTAATGGTGTATCAGTTTGGATCACTGGTTGAGGCAGAGGATAATTTTTGAAAATTCCACTGTGCCAAGATTTCAGAAAAAACAATTGGATAGCTGACCTCCAACCAGATGATTAGTATGTCCTGGGTTTTATAATCGGGGATGCTCCCTGACTAAACACAAATGAAGGGAGGAGAGACATCACTATTACTCAGTTATTTACTATTTGCCAGACATTGTACCAAGGATTTTACATGTATCGACGCATTTTATCCTCACAACAAACTGCTGAGGTAGCTGTGATTATCCGTGTTTTACAGACGAGTATGCTGAGCTTCAGAGATTAAATAACTCTTCAAGGTCACACAGTAAGGTAATGGTCTGACTGGAACATGATTCAAACACCCTGCAGCCACAAACCCAAGCCCTTCTTCAGCACCAATGTTGCCTCCATGCCAGTGGCTAAGGGGTTGTTTTTCTCAGAATCATCTTCCTAGACCTTATGAACTCACATACTTGTTTTATTGCCTTTGGATCTTTGGCTGTTAGGTTCTCTGATGGCCCTGAGCATAGTGTGGAATATTTTCTACAATTTACTCTTTATTTTAAATGTTCTGACCCTATGTAAGCATAAACCAGTTGACTGCAGTCAAGTCAACCCCGACTCTTAGCAACCCTGTGTATGTCAGGGTAGAACTGTACTCCATAGGGTTTTCATGGCAGATGTTTTTGGAAGTAGACTGCCAGGACTTTCTTCCAAGGCACCTCTGGATGGACTCGAACCGCCAACCTTTCAGTTAGCAGCCAAGCACATTAACCATTTGCAGCACTCAGGGACCCCCTTATAAGTATAGAACCTAATAAAATTTAGAGTAGTCCAAGGCCTGCCTTGAAGAGGTGTCCCTTTCAATGGACTACCTGAAAAGTCCCAAGCACACTTTTCATGGTGTGACCTGATGGGCTGGCAGCAGGGGTTGTTTAGCCTGAACTGATTTAATTATGAAGGCCTACATCCTGGGTCTGAACTTTTGCGTTCCTTCCTCAAGGATTTCTAATTTCTTAGGCACTAAAAAAAAAAAAGAGATGCACCCAGGGAAGTCTGGAAGGGTAAGAAAGAGATGCAATTTGCCCCATTACATTTTAAACAGCCAAAGCATATGATATGCCTTCCCTTTGGACTGAAGAAAGAACAGTCTAGTTACAAGCAAAGAAAGAATGTTTCCCATCTTCCTCCGAGGCAGATTGTTATGGAACAGCAATCTTGCCAAAGCACTCAGAAGTCTATTCCAAAGAAAAACCTGTGAGACTGAAGGGCAAGGAGTGAAGCGCTGTCATAGAATAAGAGACATATTCTGAGAATGATTACTCGATCTACTGACTTAATTCCAACCAAAAAGCCTCTGTAAGGACATTTAGTAACCTAAAAGCGTGGCTGAGTAGAAATATAAATATATATAGCCTAGACCCCAAGATCAAAAGCAAAAACCGTGTGCTCTGGTGAAGGCTGAAGATGCTCCCATAAGCTTCACCTCTGGGACCTGCTGGTTACTGCAAAGACTAGGGTAAGCAGAGCTCAGTCTGTAATCAGGGAACCATCCATCTGCTGATCCACTGAACATTGTTGATGGTCTGTAGTGTGACACTTTGTCAGTTGTCTCTGTCCCCAGTGGCTTCTGGAAGAAAATGCTCATTCCATTTTAGGGCTGGAAAAGGCCTTAGAGTTTTATTTAGTCCACCCTCTCATTTTACTGAAGAGGCTTCTCAGGGTTAGATAGGTTTAGGGAAATCAACTCTTCAACTGTTATGAGAACATGAAGTACAATTACAGAAAACGTTCCCTGGATTTTATGGGGTAGTGCTGGACTTCGCATATCCTGCCTGGTTGTCCCCATGAGCATACCTGAGTTTGTCAGAGCAAGTGTTCCAATATGGGATTTGGAAAAATATAGTCACCTTAGGGTTCAAAAACTAATGTTCAATAAATCTGATTTGGCTTTTGCATTTGCACTGAGGTACACAAGCTGGCAAAGGAAGAAGAGAAACATGCTCTACTCCTTTGCTAGTCTCAGCTTTTTAGCCGTCATGGAAATCTGTGTTTAGGGGGAGAACTGTGACCATCTGAAGGCCCTTGCTTGAGCTACAGATAACAGTAACCTTAGGAAGAAATGCTGAGAGTTAGGAGGAGAAAGGGAGATAAATGTACACGGAAAAAGCGAATTAAAATTTAACTGGTCGCATACAATTTTTCTGACTATAACAGCTTAAGAGTGCTTTTTGAGAAACTGATCTCAATATGTTAAGCCCCTGAGACTAAACCAGAGCCCCTCGGTGATGCTAATGGTTAATGCTAGCCTAAAGGTTGGAGGTTCAAATCCACCCAGAGGCACCTCGGAAGAAAGGCCCTGGTGATTTACTTCCGAAAGGTCACAGCCATTGAAAACCCTGTGGAGCACAGTTCTACTCTGACACACATGGGGGCGCCAGGAGTGGGAATCAACTCGACGGCCACCAGGTTGGTGGTTAACCTGGTGGAAGTTGGAGGTGGGACATGGACGGTAAAAGATGCAGAGAAGGAAGAGAGAAAGATGGTGAAGGAGACCCCTGCCTAAGGAGGCATGGTGACTGTTAGAAGGATCTGGGATAGCAAGTATCTATGACTCCAACGAAGAAGGACGTGTGGGCTGAGCTGAAGAGCACAAGCTCCTTCCTCCTAGAATCAGCTCCCACCCCAGCCCACCTCCACCTCAGTCAAGGAGAGAGTTCCTCGGGGCCTCCCTTGGGGTCGCACACTAGTGGAGAGAGCAAAGCAGGGGGTTAAGGCAAAAACCCCACGGAGAACAGTTCTACTCTGACTCACATGGGGTCGCCGTGAGTCAACAACTGGTAAGGAGACCTCAAGAGCCCAGGATACGCCGTCTCTGTGTAAGGCAAGCAAAACCCACAGTGCACTCAGCAAACTGCCTTTAAAGACAGCAGAAAGGAATAGTGAGCCTTTGTTCTCGGCAGAGCTCTTAGTTCACACTGAAAACAGAAACGCACGAATGAAATTGCCGGCAGGTTGCCTTTCTCATTCCTTGTTCTTGCTGCCTTCATACAGTGCTTAACTATGCAAACATCCGGGATCCTAACGGACATTAAATATTGGTTGATGACATCTTAAAAAAAATAAATAATGAGCCCTGGTGCACAGTGGTGAAGCTCTCGGTTGCTAACCAAAAGAAAGATTGGTGTCTTGAACCCACCAGGCACTCCTCAGGAGAAAGATGTGGCAGTCTGCTTCCATAAAGATTACAGCCTTGGAAACCCTATGGGGCGGTTCTCCTGTGTCCTATAAGCTCGCTGTGAGTCGGAATCGACTCCATGGCCCTGAGTTTGGTGTTTTGTTTTGGAATCTTAAAAACCAGGAGCGACCCAGAAATGTTTACACAGAGTGCCTGAGAAAGTCTTAAGTCTAAAAACATTGTAAGTTTAGTACCCTTCAGTTAAAGAAAATAATCAGAACCCCTAAACGTTTTCTAAGCTAAATGATAAAACACTGCTTGATTCTAATTGCGCGATTCTAAAATTGAAGCAGTCATCTGGGGAAGTTTTTACATGTTATTGTGAAAATTATTCTTCCCAATTCTGTGAAATTTAAGGTATTGTTAAAAATACTTTTTTTTTTTTTTTTAAAGCTTAGCCATTGTAAGAGATAAAAATTTGTTACTAGTTAAGGAAAGATCATTTAGCATGAAGTTCCATTTTCCGACTTGCACAAGGAAACGGAGCGTATGTTAATAGAGTGTGTTCAGATAGCGGGACAGCTCACTGCTTAAACTTTGTGTCCTGGTGATACCTTTCGTTCACAGAGCTCTGTCTTTATCACGTACCTAGTGATGGTCTTCCAAAAGGTCAGAGCCTTGAAAAGCGTAAGGAGCAGTTTTACTCTGCATCCGTGGGGTCACCGTGAGTCAGAATCGAGACCCTGGCTGGCAACTAACTACAAGAAGGGGCTTGTTTAAAAAACACCGAACGCTTCCTTCTCCATTTTACAGAAAGCAATGAAAGCTGCACCTCAAGGAGACCTGTCATGGGAGGAAAGGAGATGAGAAAAGACAGAACCTCACAGCTAACACATGTGAACTTGTACATTCAGATACTGCCTGCGCGTTACTTGCCCACACCCCACATTCACCTCAGTAAGACAGATGAACACCTAACACATTTCGTTCCTGCTTCTTTGGCATTTTCCTTTCCCTCTGGAGGTTCAATACGAGGGGAGGGAAAGTTATGACTCTTCATGTCCTGTGCGTGTGCGTGGTGGTGGTTGTTTATTATGGACTGAATTATAGTTTTTTGTGGATGTGCCTGTCCTCAAATAGCTACATTACTTGTCACTTGACAAACAACCCCATATACTTACTGTCTTCAAAACCCAAGCATGTAACAAAATGCTTACCACATAGGAAGGAATCAATAGGTTGCTTTTTTAAAAATGAAAGAATGGATAAATATTTTTGCCTCTAAGTGAACCTGCTGGAAGGACCCTACATGGTGTCAACGGGTCCTAGGAAACCGTGTTCCATGTTGGCATCTCATCCTGCTATTGTTTGATTTGGGAGTTGCTCTGTTTTTCACACCATGAGTATATACTGAAATACAAACAGGGATGTTTTACTTGCTCTGTATACTTTGGGTTCTAACCATTCACCATGCATTATGTCAGCCTCTTGTTTTCTTTCTGATCCCTCCAGGACAGAACATTATTCCATCCTGTGAGCAACAGCTGTATGGACTGCAATCCTGCGGAGAAGAAAATTTTCATGGCTAGATGTGACCCTCTATCTGAGACTCAGCAGTGGGTTTTTGAACATATTAATATGACTGTTTTAGAAAAATTTAACCACCATGCCAGCTCCTAGAGAGAAAGAAGAAAGAGCAATTGCCTATAGATTACAAGCTAAGTTTTGGCTGGCATCTGGGTTGAAGGAGTCAGGAATAACATTTCCTAGATCCAGGAAGCCCTGGTTTAAAGATGTGTAAAGGCCACGTTTAAGTAGGTTGTCCTGAAGAACTTCCTGTACCTAAAAAACTTGGCTGAGAACCTCACCAGCTGCTTCTGAGAACTTGAGACTAGCAGTTAACCTTGCTGGCCAAGGGCAAAGATTATTTAGGGACTTTTCAAAACAACCGCTGAATTAAATCCTAGCATTTCTCAGGTCAAATCCTGCAGTAGTGAGTAGCTATGAATGGATCCTATTAACTGGGTGGGGGTGGGGGGTGGAAATAGAATGCATGACTGCTCGGACAGCCTACGGATACCACAAGCTTAGAGCTAGACACGAGGGGTGAGCTGTACTCTTTCGGTGCCATTCTCTGACTAAGAATGGGTTAAGCAGGTTTAACCCTTAAAAGTGCTGCAGATGATTTTAGAGTGCTCATACGATTCTCTGTTCTTTTACTTTTAAACAAGGGGGCGATATCTAAGGACTTAAAATGTAAGACTTAAACTGCATAACGAAATGGACTTTCCGTGCTCCCTTTGTTTCATTGACATTTATCATTTTTTTCTTTTAGAGCAGAGGTAACTTATTGTTCATAAAGTTCATGCTCCATAAATCTGCTGAAGTTCTAATTCAGTGCCCTTGTATGAATCCAGTAAAATAAATTTCAAAAAAAAAAAACTATGCTATCAAGTTACTCCAAAGAGAAAGATTTCACAGAAGCAGCAAAACCATGTAAGGTTTAGCGGAAGGATTTCTCTAGGAAATCTATTTTTACTTTTCTATTATTTTTAAAAGTGTAAAAGTTTGATGTTTGTCCAGTCATAAATTTTATTCAAGAAGGAAATGGAGTGAGGTTGGTGTAATTTGTTTAGGAGATTCTTAAACCCAAATAAATCTACACTCCAAGTGGCGTGTGAAAAGGCTTCGTTCACTTCAATTCTGTTTCATCAGCGTTGGAGATTTGGAAGGGTTTGATGGGTTGGTTGCTTTGGTTGGTTGGTTTTTTGTTTGTTTGTTTTAAATTATTGATGTCAATGATATTGTGTATGCTTTATTTGGAAGCTCATAGAAGGAATTTCCATTAATAAAGTGCTTCTGACACCATTTTATGTTAGTGGGACGATATTTCAGGTGTGAAGAAAGGAAGGACTAGAAAAATAAATGGAACATTTAATCCTTAAAAGAATTTTTTTACTTTTCAATAATGATGGGTTTGGGGGAGGAATATACAGACATCAAGATGAGTCCCTATAAGAAAGAATCATATTCATTATACATTTCTCAAATTTTTTCAAGTAGAAAACAGTTTTTCCTTTGCTCTTGATGTTTTCTTTTTTTAAACTTAGTTTTCCTATTAATGAAAACTTATATATCATCTTGGATACAGAAGCACTGAATTTTAAAACCGGAAAAGCTCTTAGAATCCAATCCCCGGGTTTTACAGATGAATAAAAAGCCCACAGAAGATACGCCTAACTCGCGGAGGGCAGATGAGTCTCCGGACTCCTAATCCAGTGCTGTTTCTACCATGATATGTCGCCTGTCTCTGTCTCATGGGGTGGCTTTGGTTATAACTCTGATTTATGCTCTAACTCCCTGGGGATGTCTGCAAGAGGCACCATTCACTTCACAAAAACTCTAATATGTGAAACCTCTTCTTGAAAATGTTCACGATTTGGTTCTGTCCTTGAAACCTAATCAAAACATCCAGTTAAACTACCCTGCTAATAGTTGGGGGAGAGTTATTTGGTTATCTTTACTGATTTTTCAAGCATTCTTTTGAAGAGCTCTTCTTTTTAAACTGACGGTCACGGAGACATTTTGTGTAGGTCAAGAGATTTTTGAGGCATTCAAGATGGAGAAAATCAATAGTGAGAAATTCACTTGTGTGTTGAACAATTCCAGAGCGTGAGAGAAGGTTTATCTCAAGTGCCCAGAGGGCAATCTGGCTGTAGAATTGGAAGAGCCTATAAAAAGTCACATTACGTCATTAAACAGTTGACTGCTATTTACAATTCCACCGAAGAGTCAATCCAGAGTTCTGTACTCTGGAAGGTCCAGGTTTGAAATGATCTTTGAGGAGGCTATACCACGTGAAGCTAGCCATAACATGTTTGCCACTCTCCTTTGGGAAAGCCTGAATATTACATTATTTTGTTGTAACACCAGGGACCAGCAAAGACTGGTCTCCTAATATCAGAAGGGCCTGTCTCTCAAATGTAACATTTCCTCTGAGTAAAAGGACGTGACACCAAAAAAAATTGAAAATGTGTTAAAAAAAAAAATAGAAGTTTGAGACATTAAAAAGTTCCCTAGGTGGTGCAAATGGATAGGTTGCTAATGTAAAGACTGGCAGTTTGAACCCACACAGCAGCACCACAGAAGAAAGGCCTGGTGATCTGCTTCTGTAAAAGATTGCAGCCAAGAAAACCCTATGGAGCGCAGTTCTACTCTGTAACACATGGGATCTCCATGAGTTGGAAACCACTCATGGGTTTGGTTTATTTTTTGTTTTTGAGATGCTAAAACCGAAATTAAAAGTTTCAACTGCCAAGCAATTGTCAAATGTGTGCAAATGGGAAACATACAAATAGAACAAAATGAAGCCAAAATAGCCTCCCCCTAAGCAGAAGGGATAACACTGCCAACTAAGCATATGTGCGTTTCCAGTTCCACTGAAGACTGGGGCTCTATACTCACTCGAAGTGCCACCACTACCATTCTGAAAAGTATAAAACTGCATGTGTTTACATATTTACTGGGCAAAGGGGACTGAACAGCTCTCAGAAAGATTCTCTTTCCTGGAAACGACATGACTTAGAAATTGGACAGTAGAGTACTGCCCTACACTTTTACCAGAATGGGAGGGAAAATATGATAAAGTTAATCTGGGCTTGAAAATTGCTACTTAACCATAATAAGAAATGGTTTTACCAGAAGTTAGAAAATGGTTGCTTTTTGAAATCACTTTTATATATTTACTGAGAAAAAGCTATACTGAAAAACAATTGTAAATGAGTTGTGGAATTTATACTTTTTTTTTCAAGGCTGGATGAATACCATGACAATAACAATGTACTGGTTTCTATGTCTACTCCTATACAATTACATGACTGTTTTTAAATGTATTCCTTATATCAGAGGCCTCGGTGCATAACGCAAGTACCAGGATTATTCTGTGAACTGATAACATAGAACTTTATACAATAAATGAACAACACATAATGAAAATGGATTTATAGTCAACGAAAGTGTATTAGGCCCATTCTGTTCACGGTCTTACAAAATATAAAACCAATGCCGACACTTGACACCATTTCTTTTCAGGGGCAATTATATGTTTTAAAAGGAGACAACATCTGAAAATAAATAAATTAGAGGATATAAATATCTATTTTGTGCTTCTTGTTGTCATAGGAAAAAAAATCTATTTCAATCCTTTTATAAGTATCTCCATAGGAAAATAGCAAAAAGAAATCTTTTACTGGGAAGTCCAACGCCATAAAGTTTATGGCAGATCCATCAAAATAGCCAATGACACTTCAGTTACCAAGTCCACTGGGCACCCACCAGTGTGAGACACTCCTGGCCCAGAACTTCACTTTGGTTCTGAACAGAGTGGTTGGCAAGACTGCGACAGACCCCCTATTTTTGACTTCCTGTTTTCAGTGTTCCAGAATCTTTCCCAGGGATGGGCAGTTCCCTGGCCTCCAAAGCTGCTAGGTTGCATTATTCAGAACTTGAAACCATCCTAATAATGTGACACTGTGAACACTGATTTGGTGAAATCTCTTTAGGCTTCTTTTCTTGGCAGAGATATAAAGCTGTGATGCTCGTACATAAACAGGTGCTGGACATACGCTGAAAGCAGGCTTTTTATGTAAATCCTGAGAAGGAACAACTGAAAGGGAAAATTTTCTAAGTGATTCCCTCTGGTCCTGGGAGTAGATATAAATAGCAAGTAAACTGTATCCCTCAACATGGAGTTTGTATAATCTTCTCCATTCACCTCATCAATAAGCTCTACCCTTGCCCGCATGACTCTCAGATGACACCACTAACTGTAGTCATCCCCCATGTGTGGAACTGTGGCTGAGAACACTGAAGCATGACAAGTGGCCAGTCCTTCCCACACAGTCGACTTTGGAAGATTGCTCTTTGATTCATGCCCGTCGCCTTTGCTTGCAGAACCCACAGCTGTTTGCAACTCTATTTGGTAGACTTGATATTGGCCTGGAGCTTTTATTCACAGTCACTCATCCCTACACTTGACACACCAGACTGGTATGTCTGGTACTGTGGCTTCTCAGCAGACAATGGCTCAGACACATGTGATACTGCACTTCAGAGAAATCTGGAAACATCTCTTTCATCCCTCCTGCCTGAAGTTGTGTCCTTCAGCTCCAAGTACAACAACCTCCCAGGATTCCACAGTCCTCCACTCCCAGAATTCCACAGTCCTCCACTCCCAGAATTCCACAGTCCTCCACTCCCAGAATGCCATAGTCCTCCACTCCCAGAATGCCACAGTCCTCCACTCTTCACATTTCCCTGGTCCAACAAAGTGATCTGACCTCAGTACAGAGAGGCTGGTTACAAGTCAGGATCTTACTGGTAATGATTTTCTTCTGGCAGTACTCACCTTGGGGAAGGGTGATCATAACCAGGTAACGTGTATCCTGGATTAGCAGGGACAGCCCTGTTTTATGCTTTTTGTCTTATGTAATTATTAATAGTGTTCCCTTTTACTGTTTACTAGCTGAGGGCAATTGGTTATAGATATTAATAAGCACAGAACATTTTAACTTTCCCAAACAAAACTATGAAGTTAACAAGCAGATGGAGCATAAATACCAGCTCCTATCAAGACGATTCCAACTCATGATGATCCCATGTGTGTCAGAGTAGAAATGTGT